AGGAGCAGAAGTAGAAAGAAAACCAAAAGTTATACGAGGTGAACTCAGCCGATCAAAACAAGGCAACACAGACAAACGCTGTAAATAAGTCAACGGACTTAAGGAGCTACCATCTGGGAGCTGATGAGTTAGAGATAACAGAAGGATTAAGATCTGATCTTAGGCAAATGTAAATACTAGTTGTATATTTGCGTAGCGATTTAAGTAGAGTCCCTTGGGATAACTCTGGATTTACTTATCAAACCCGTCTGGACCATCCCAAACTAACCTACGACACAATACACAGCTTTAGGCTATTCCAGGCAACGCTCCAGTGACCTCTGTAGCTTTAACTTGATAATAATAAGCTATCTTATTTTCTACGTAAGATATAGGAGGCAATTTACAGATTACTCAGGGTTGTTTTGGGTCTTTTTTTTTTTTTTTTCAAGGAATCATCTCAAACTGTACTTTCTCATCAACCAAGGCGGAGATAAAAAAAATCTTTTCTAAAGAATGTAAGATGACCACGTGTGGTGACCCCTTTTGTTTATTCAAAAGATTGTGACTTTGGACCTGACAGGTTTTCACGCTGACAGGGCAAAATAATATAATGGAACGGTGTCTCCCTTTTTTTAAAAAAAAAAGTTAGAAATAGGCATTGAAGTTTTGTCAACTAGATTTCTACTCTCTTAGTTTAAAGGAGGCAAATGCTATGGTTCTTTCCAAACCAAGTTTGTTTGTTCCGATGAAAAACCTAATTTGATATAGTTTATGAATTAGACATCATTTTTCTGCCTCTTGCTTACCAATAATAATAATAATAATAGTAGTAGTAGTAGTAGTAGTAGTAGTAGTAGTAGTAGTAGTAGTAGTAGTAGTTTTTCAGGTTATTGTTCCGATATTTCCGATATGTAAAATTGTTTTAAATAGAATACAGGAGTCACCATTTCTTTAGACGTAGGAAAACGTTTGATGTGTTTTCTTGAAATTTCCGAAACAGATTCCAGTTTATTTTCAATTTCCACAGAGGATTATTATTATTAATGGATCATCGCACAGTCAGCCAGATGTTCAGACTGGATTTGGCATTTTGTCTACCTATCGAGTCCTTATCCAGGACCTGGGATAGGTAAATGTGGATGTTGGATGGTATTACAGGTATCGTCGCAGGATGGAAGCAGTTCCTAGCAAGGCCGCCTTTTGCAATTGACTAATAGCGAATTTGTCAATGCTGATGATGGTGTTCAAGTGGTGCTCCAGTTGTTTTGGGATTGCACCCAAGGCGTCTATTACTATTGATACTACCCTTGCTTGCCTTTGCCACAGTCTTTCTATTTCTATTTGTATTTCTATTTCTTCGTATTTTGTTATCTTCTCCAGTTTTTTCTCGTCTATTCTGCTGTCTCCAGGCACTGCCACGTCCACTATCCAGACTTTTTTTTGTCTTATTACTATTACTATTATTATTATTATATTTCATTGCCAAATCACATGCTAATAGTGCGCCTTACGTTGTGGAATAAATCAAGAATACCCTCTGGTCTGCACTATTAAAAAATGGAAAATACTAAAAGGATCACAAATGATGAAGGAAAGTCTGAGTTTCTGTTACATATAGATGGTAAGTTTTATAATGGACAGAAATGTTCATTTTTGTTCCTCTGAGGCTGCACCCCGAGTTAGCACAATAAATCAGAAGAAATTCATGATGGATTTCCACAAAAGCTTGCGACCGAAGCTTTCAATGGCTTTCTGATCCTTTGGGATAAAAATCCATGAGCATTTTTTTTTAAGCACAAATTTGAAATCCGATTTCCAATTTTGGATCAAACCAAATTTAGAATTCCTTTGGATTGCCTGCACAAAGAAACATGCTTAAGGTGATTTTAACTCTATATGTATCTTAAAAAGATCTCCTTGTGCTTTTATATTATTTCAAGCAAATAAATGTAAAGCAAAGGTTTTTCATGAGTTGAATTAGAATGATGGATTTAATTGTCCACCCTTTCAGCTGATCATTTGGCATTTATTTTAGGTTCGGAATCCAGCTCCTCTTTGCATTCAAACTGGGAACATTTGAGTCTTCTGATGTTTTGGTTTGTTCAAGGTTTAGTTTCAATATTGGAAACTTAATGTCACAAGATAAATAGAGATTTGGAGGTAGACAAAAATAACCTCCTTACGCATCAAAGTCTCCATGATGCTATACTTTCCATTTAAAAATAGATATTAATCTGCTTCTTGTTTTAATTTTTCAGTAAATCGAACTTTTCGCTTTATCTTTCCTTCTGAAAAACATAGTTCTGATTAAATTGTTTTTTTAAAAGTCTACAAAAACTAAATTTGGTTTATCAGATTGCTTCTTAGCAATTTATTCTGCTGAAGTGTTTTGTCACCTGCCTGTTTGCCTCTGGTGCTTTTGAGATATTTTAGCCACTCTCCATCTTTTTTTAAAGATCTTTTTAAAGCTTTTGAACAAACTGATATTAAATACTTGGAAAATCACTTGGAATGACCTGCCCTTTTAAAACCAATGGACCGTTGCATTAAAGCAGGGGTCTTCAAACCTGGCCCTTTTAGGGCTGGCTGAGGAATTCTGGGGGTTGAAGTCCACAAGTCATAAAAGGGCCAAGTTTGAAGACCCCTGCATTAAAGAATGTGAAATTATTTTTATATTAAAATGTGGTTAACATGGCAAACAAAACCTCACCACCTTTTTCATATGTATTAAATACCTCCGGGTTGTTTAGTAATGGTAACTATTGGAGACTTAGTTGAAGAGACAGAGATTAATTCTAGATTTGTCCCACCGCTACCATGTTTTGGGTCCAAATGTATAAGAATACCATAATGATTTGAGAATGAGAGCGATATTAAGGTAAGTTTAGCTGTATTACCAGTGTTTAGAATCTGGCCATCAAGAACTGTAGATTTCTCGTGCAGGGAGATGGTACAAATAATTATTTTGCAGCAGCAGAGCGATAAATCTACGCCTGATTTGCAGGGTATGCCGTTTTTCTTTCTGTTAATTAGCGTGATATTTATTTCTGTTAATTAGTTTGCAGCAAGTCTCCAATAGGTTAAAAAAAAGAAAAAAGGAAAGGGATCTTCGATCGTGCTTGTCTGCATTCTTATTTCCTCTGAATCTTTCCTGTTATTAAGAGATTCCTGTCAGGATAGATGGCACAGAAAAGTCCTTGCATAATGACTTACAATCCCTCCTCAAAGCTACGACTGCAGCACACACACACTCACAAACCCACAGTGACATGATTTGCACTGGCAACCCTTTCGGATTTAGAACTGGTTGCAATGTCAGATTTTTATTCCCAAGATTTCCAAAAAAAAAGGGGGGGGGGAGCTACAGGTTGCCTTTCAGCTCACTTACGGTGTCCCTTACACCACAACAGTCTACCTCAAGTTGAGCCTAAATACTCTAATTATACACAAGAGGGAATAACTCTTCCCTGACCTCATCTACTACCTGGAAGTAAAAGAGGAAGAGGAATCATTCACGATTTGCTATTTTTCCCGAACGGTGTTTTTCTCTCTTACGCCGCACCACTTACCGTACTTTCCGGCGTAGAAGACGACTTTCGCAAGCGTTAAAATCGGCGCTGAAGTCGGGGGTCGTCTTATACGCCGAGTCATCTTATATGCCGGAAATAACGGTAGTTTCTGGCGTATAAGATGACTTTCTAGGCACGCGACTCAGCACCGAAGACGGGGGTCGTCTTATACGCCGGGTCGCCTTATACACCGGAATATACGGTATTTTTAGAGGATGCAAAGGTGGGGATGACTTTTTTCGTTTTTGTTTTTTTTCGAACAAGCCCCAAGAAGCGTCTATTCTAATGGAGGGATGCATCTTCCTAGTAGTAGTTGCCTACTTTCAGGTGCAAATCATTCTGGCCTTGTTTCTCTGAAGCAACAACTGAGGCTACCCCCCCGCCCTATTGGGTCGGCATAATTTGCTGGCCTGGAATTACCCCTTCTGGATATGGAGAAAACCTCAACTTGCAAGAGAGAGACTCACAATTTATTTTTTTGCTGAGTAGCTTGATGCTCCCTTTGGAAATTTTCTGTTTTATTCTGTTAAATATTAAAAAAAACAATGGCTGGTTCGTGCTAGGGACGGTCATCTCTCCTATGGCAGAAGTAGCAGATTTTTATTTTATTTTTTTAAAAAAAAAAAAAAAGATCAGAGACCGAAGCCTCAGCAAAGGCATCTCAACCTAATCATCAAAAGTATGTCATTCCTATCCTATTTTAAGACTTCCAGAAATAAGAACCAGGGCAGGGACATCGGCCGAGTCTCTTGACATCAAGCAGTAGCAGCCAATTCTAATTCCACCCCCCCCCCAGAAAAAGAGATGTTTGCTTCATGTACAGAGTGCCTTACGACAAGAGTTGGGGAGCCCCTTTATGACTGGTGGACTTCAACTCCCAGAATTCCTCAGACAGCCATGATGACTCGGGAATTCTGGGAATTGAAGTCCACAGGTCCTAAAAGGGCGATAGTTGAGAGCACTTAGACTTATATACCCGCTTCATAGTGCTTTACAGCCCTCTCTTCAGCGGTTTACAGAGTCAGAATATTGCCCCACCAACAATCTCGGTCCTCGTTTTATGGACCTCGGAAAGATGGAAGGCTGAGTCAAAACCTTGAGCCGGTCAGGATCGAACTGCTGGCGGTGGGCAGAATTAGCCTGCAATGCTGCTTTCTAACCACTGAGCCACCCTGGATTAGATAGCAATAGTGATAGTGCTTAGACTTATATACCGCTTCACAGTATTTTTACAGCCCTCTCTAAGCATAGGTATAGGATCACCCTCTTGCCCCACAACAATCTGGATCCTCCTTTGACCGACCTCGGAAGGACGGAAGGCTGAATCAACCTCGAGCCCGTCAGGATCGAACTGCTGGCGGTGAGCAGAGTCAGCCTGCAATGCTGCATTCTAACCACTGCACTATACCACCAAGGAAGGAAGGAAAGAAGGAAAGGAAGGGAAGGGAAGGGAAGGGAAGGGAAGGGAAGGAAGGAAGGAAGGAAGGAAGGAAGGAAGGAAGGAAGGAAGGAAGGAAGAGCAATAGCACTTAGACTTATATACCGCTTCATAGTGCTTTGCAGCCCTCCCTATGCAGTTTGCAGAGGCAGCATATTTGCCCCCAATAATCTAGCTCTTCATTTTAACGACCTGGGAAGGACGGAAGGCTGAGTCAACCTTGAGCCGGTCAGGATCGAACTGCCGGCGGTGGGCAGAGTCAGCCTGCAATGCTGCATTCTCACCACTGCGCCAACACGGGCGTCGTTCCCCACCCCTGCCTTATGGGCAAGATCTCCAACCGAAAAATATGAGGTATGTATGTATCCAAGAATCTGCCCTGGTCCCAGAATTCCCACTGCGGGATTCCAGCTTAAGCCTGGTTTAGACTTCAGTGTCTCTGCACTTCAGGGAACGTTCATGTCTGTCGTTCGGAGACGGTTGCATAGCGCTTATACTTTGGCAAATGTTCACCTTCTGGCTGGGGGGGGGGCTGTTTCCGCTCAAACAACAAAGCACAGGGAACATGCCCTGCCACTCACCCGACAGGAAGTCGGATCAACCAATCAGCATGCAGGACGCGCGTTCCCACGCCACACGTGGTTGAGGTTTGGGAACTTGTGCGTGTTGGTCCATCTGCAACTTCCTGCAGCTGCCAAGTCTCTTTTCAACTTATTGTTAACAGAAACAGCCGCATCGTTCCTCTCCGTTTTAAATTTAAAACAGTAAAAAAATTGTATTTTTTTTTCTTCCAAAGACTGCACCATTGAATTTGGGGAGGGGGGGGGACATGGAAAAAAAAAGCAAAGAAAGGAAAATACTTAATATTCTGTAAGATATAGTAAGGTACCCCAAGACCCTCCCGCCACCCAAACCTCTCGGTCCAAATAGATCCAAGTCATCGGAATGGCTTCGTTCAAGTCCCAGTGCCAGGTTGGGTACAAGCCATTTAAAAAGAAAGAAAGAAAAAGAAAATTATTTTAAAAAGTTAATGGACACATCCGTGGGTTACCTTCAGAGTCTAATGCCGATCAGTACTAGAACGTTACTCCGCCTACAAGGGGAGACACGGGGACCTTTGAGTAGGAGTAGAAAACTGGTTTGCGTTCAGGAAAGTCTCCATCTTCTTTGGCAAAACAATGACCGAGAAGGTATAAAAAAGGTCCTGTAAATACATGTGCTCGGTTTTAATCCGTCTTGGAAAAAGAGGCCACCAAGAAACCAAAGCGGGGTAGGCAGCCCCAAAGTCAGACAAACGGATTCGTGTTGTTTTTTTTGTTTGTTTGTTTGTTTTTCTGCAGTTGTTGTTCTGTGGCAACCGAGAAGGGCTGAATGAAGTTACAAAACAGTATTTTAGGCATCGTATTTTTTACCGGTCCTGTGAATCTGCTGGAAGAGAGTCATGGAAAAGGCCATGCCGAGAATCTGGAAGACAAAGCATGAAAAGGAGGTCAAGAGTTGATTGTGGGATACAAACAGGCCCTTTCACAGAGGCCCCTCCGGTCTCTACCAGAGTCATCATCGAAAGACAGAGCCCCTTGCAATAAAATCTGGATTACCATCTTTCTTTCTTTTTCTTTCTTTCTTTTTCTTTCTTTCCTTTCTTTTTTTCTACTTTCCTTTTTTTCTTTCTTTCCTTTCTTTCTTTCTACTTTCCTTTCTTTCTTTCTTTCTTTCTTTTCTTTCTTTCCTTTCTACTTTCCTTATTTTCTTTCCTTTCTTTCTTTCCTTCCTTTTTCTTTCTACTTTCCTTTTTCTCTTTTCTTTTTCTTTCTTTCTTTGTTCTTTCTTTTTCCTTTCCTGCCTTCCTTTTTCTTTCTTTCTTTTTCTTTCTTTCTTTCTTTCTTTTTCTTTCTTTCTTTTCTTTCTTTCCTTTCTTTCTTTCTTTCTTTTTCTTTCTTTCCTTTCTTTTTTTCTACTTTCCTTTTTTTCTTTCTTTCCTTTCTTTCTTTCTACTTTCCTTTCTTTCTTTCTTTCTTTCTTTCTTTTCTTTCTTTCCTTTCTACTTTCCTTATTTTCTTTCCTTTCTTTCTTTCCTTCCTTTTTCTTTCTACTTTCCTTTTTCTCTTTTCTTTCTTTCTTTCTTTCTTTGTTCTTTCTTTTTCCTTTCCTGCCTTCCTTTTTCTTTCTTTCTTTTTCTTTCTTTCTTTTTCTTTCTTTCTTTCCTTCCTTCCTTTTTCTTTCTTTCCTTCATTTTTCTTTCTACTTTCCTTTCTTTCTTTCTCTTTCTTTCTTTCTTTCTTTCCTTTCTTTCTTTCTCTTGTTTTCCTTCCTTCCTTTTTCTTTCTTTCCTTCCTTTTTCTTTCTACTTTCCTTTCTTTCTTTCTTTCTTTCTTTCTTTCTTTCTTTCTCTTTCTTTCTTTCTTTCTTTTCCTTCCTTCCTTTTTCTCTTTCTTTCTTTCTTTTTTTTTTACAAGCCTGTAATCCCTGAATTCAGGTAGAGTTGGAGCCACTGAACAGAGCTGAGCGTCTCCTGGCTGGATGCCCTTCCTGATGCTCGCAGATGTTTGCAGCAGATTTTTTTTTTTCCTTTGGACCCCGAGAGAGAAACCTCTGTCACTGTCTGGGATTGAACTTTCAATCTTCCGAGTGGGAGGCGAGCATCTTCACCTCTAGCACCTTGGCCTGGACGACTGAATCTTCACTTGACATATTTCACCAGATGTACTTATCATTGACCCCGCGGGCATAGCCACACACACACACACACCCAAAGAGCTCGGTTCAAATCTTGTGCCAGTTCCTTGCATGCCTACTTGGGAGACAGAATGACTTCTATCTCAGCTTGCATTTTTGCAAAAAATAAAAATAAATAAAAAAATTACTGCTCCTTCCACATCCTGAATCCAAGACACCCTGCCTCGTTGTTTAGTTTAGCCCATACCTGTATTATGAGGAGGCACATTGCAACAGCCCCAGGGATGTGCTTGTTATCTTCAAACCACGTCATGACCTTCTCGTAGCATCCCTGCAGAAGGAAAGGATTCTTAAAACATTGTTTGATAGCAAAAGCATTCTTGAGCAGAAGGTGGGAAAAAAAATATGGAAGGTTTGACTCCTGCTCATTGTCTTCTCTCTCTGGGTTCCTATTGTAAGCAAGACCCCTTGGCAGGAATTAAGAAACTTCAAATGATATTGGACAAGGATTCATCAAGGAGGTGAATTCTGCTCACCATGCACAGATTGCTCAGCACTCTAGTTCAACTTTTTTTTTCTTTTTACAGATCACATGATTTTGCCTCTCCTGCAACATAATGTGTAAAGGCGAGGTTATTTTCATTCGGAACGTGTCTCCAGCACGCACAATAATAATAATAATAAATCTATCTAAATTTATTTTGCGTGAATCTTATCGCTATGTGTTTCATCCCTGGAAGGAAGATTTCCAGAGAAGTTTACTGTCGTAAGCTCAGACTGGGAAGCTGAAAATATCTCCCAGAAGGCAGTCCCATCTGTAGCGCTGCTGAAGCAACCTGCACAAAGAATCCTCCAGAAAGACACCAGATTGACTTGAAGGTGACTTTACTTTTTTTATCTACTACACAGTGCTTAAATCCTCTCTGGTGGAACGTGAGAGAGCTGCACAACTTCCCTCAGTGATCTGTAATCTAAGCATCAACCAGACACAAGTATTTTTAGCACCAGATCGATGCTTGGACAAATGGCTGAGTGAACAACAGTTATTATCTATTAGCAGGTTTACGCCCCAATCCTATCCTGATTTACTTAAGTGCAATTCCCGCTGAATTCTACAGAACTTAAGGATTCGTGATGGATACTATTAAAGAACGTCCTTGACTTATAACCGTTGGTTTAGTGACCATTCAAAGAGACAACAGCACTGAAAAAGGTCACTTACTACCATTTTTTTCAACCTTACGACCGTTGCAGTATCCCCGGGGTCACGTGTTCAACATTGTCAACTGACTCATATTTACGACGGTTGCAGCGTCCTGGGGTCATGTGACCCCCTTTTGCAACTTTTTGACAAGCAGGGGAAGCCAGATTCACAACTGTGTTATTAATTTAACAATTTGCCGGTCATGTGTGATCCCTTTCGATGACCTTCCGGCTAGCAAAGTCAACGGGGGAAGCTAGAGTGCCTTCACAACTGTCTTCAACGGCAGTGATTCGCTTAAACAACGGTGGCAGGAACAGCTATAAAATGGGGCAAGGCTCGCTTAAGAACTGCCTTACTTAGCCGTGGTCCTAAATGCTCCTAGTCAACAAAGCAGCTACGTTGGGAAGAATCTACGGCTGAGGAAGCGTGAAGGCAACGTTCAGAGAAGGGCTTACCGTTTTCCACACCAGGCTGGTGTTGTTGGAATTCCGTCCACAATCTTGGGAATTCTCCATGCAGCACCTGTCAGGGACAACGTTGTCGCCCAACACGGGGTACCAATCTCTGTAATCAGTTACCCCACAGCAGCGCATCTATGGGGGGGTGGGAAGAGGCGGAGAATGAGGACTCCTGTTCCTAAGGAAGTCGCTTAAAGCTCACAACGTTATTAGAGAAACGAGTATATATTTCAAAAACAGCCGTGTTAGGGGTGTAAAATAAAGGCAAGAGACCAAGCACCTTACTATAGGTCGGGGGGGGGGGGGTGTTAAACTCAATTCCATTGAGGGCCGCATCAGCATTGCAGTTGACCTCCGGGGGGGGGCCTGAATGGGTATGGCCAGGGTGGGTGTGGCCTGAGTGGGCGTGGATGGAGTGGGTGTGGCCTACTGGGTGGGCGTGGCCAGCTCTACATCATTCGCATCAAGGGGGCCTGTGGGGGCCTGGGCAGGAGTGGGACAGATCTGAGGTCTCTGGCAGAAGGGGGTGGGATCGGGGCAAGCGCCAAGGCACGGTCCACTGGAGGAGCCTCACTGCCTGTTGAAACCCCTCCGCCAGAGCCCATGAAGCCGGATATATGAAGTAGGCAAGGGCCATGTGCTGGCCACTTCCAGGTGATGGTGCATTTCTTCATTCCTCACAAAGGGTGACCCCTCCCCAGCATGCACCCAGGGGGTGGGCCAACGCGGCAGGGGCTGGTTCCTCACTGTTTCCGGACGGCCTTGTGAAGCTAAGACTGAATGCGTTTCAGCATAGAGGGCCACCACAAAATTGTACATTGGCTCCCGGCCGACCTGGGCCAGGGCCATGGCAGCGGGGGCCGTTCCCTCGCTGTTTCCAGGATGGCTTCGTGGGCCACATGAAACCACTTCGCGGGCCGCATCCGGCCCCCGGGCCTTGTGTTGGACATGTCTGCTCTATCGGAACCATGACAGCAGCCTTTTCAGCGATGAACAATGTTGCAGGAGGTTACAAGCAGCGCAGACTTACAGAGGACATATGTAGTACATAGATGAGTGTTTATTAAGTTCAGAAGGAAAGAAAATGCGGATTGCTAGAGCGAGCAAATGCCAGCAGATGGCAGCCACAGAACAGCAAAGACTTATCGGCTCTCCTGCAGTGGTTTTCTAGTTTCTGACTCAGATCTGGTAGCCCTTGGTTTGCAAAGACGTAAGTAAGCGCTTAGGTCTTACCTCTGCTTGAATGATATTCCACGCATTCTTCAGCCCGACGTTATTTTCTGTGTTATACAGCTTGAGGCCCTCCTTCAAGTCCTGCTTTGCGCTTTCGCTCACCTATTTCACATAATGAACTGTTTTAATTGTTACTTCCCGCAGGTATGAATTTTCACGTGACTTGGGTTGGGGCACAGCGTAAAGATACGAGACAAACGGAACAGAATCATCACTAACGGGGTGGAGAATTCCCGGCTTCAAACTGGCTTTTGGAGAAAAATTCCTCAGTACACAAAGGGGTCTCTGCAGAGTAGCATCCAAAAAGTCAAAATTACAGCTGCTACAATGTGATTGGAGCTGCCCCCTTTCGAAATAACTTGACCCCCCTCTTCTTTGTGGCAGCCCCTCAAATACTGGAATACTGCTGTCATATCTCCCCTATTTCTTATTTTCATGGCTAGTCTAAAGAAAAGAAGAAATAGGGGTGACATTAGCAGTATCCCAGCATTTGAGAGGCTGCCACAAAGAGGGGTCAAACTATTCTTCAGAGCACCAGAGGGCAGGACAAGAAGCAATGGTTGGAAACTGACCCAAAAGAGAAGCAACCTGGAATTAAGGAGAAACTTCCTGACAGAGAGGACAATTAACCAGTGGAACAGCTCTGCCACCAGAAATCGTGGGCGCTCCATCACTGGAGTTTTTTAAGAAGAGACTGGACAGTTACTTGTCTGAGATGGTCTAGGTTCTCCTGCTTGAGCAGGGGGCTGGACTAGAAGACTTCCGAGGTCCCTTCCAGCTCTATTCTATTCTAAATGTGCATTGCAGCCCCGTGGAGAGTAGCCCACGCACGAAGAAACACACAAGAGCCTCCTAATCCAGGAAGGAGCGCAACGCAAGACAGATCTGTGCAAAAGATTTTCCTGGCTACATCTGTTTGGAAGGAGCTAAGGGTGCAGGAAGACACACAAACACACCCCCAAATTGTGCCCCTGTTTGGTCTGGGGCAAGGGTAGGCCACCTTGGCTCTTTTATGCCTGGTGGACTTCAACTCCCAGAATTCCTGAGCCAGCTTGTTGACGTCCACGAGTCATAAAAGAGCCAAGGTTGCCTACCCCTGGTCTGGGGGAGGCACAACTCACTCAGAACTAGGGAAGGGACCTCCCTGAATCCAGGGGTCATGCAGCCACTCAGCTTTGTGAGGCTGCTCGGGTCTGCCCCCCCCTTTTCCCAGGCCTCCCCCTGTGGGGAAAATCCTTGGCGCATCAGTCAGTAAGCCACAGTTTGATTGATGTGTCTGAGCAACCAGCAGCCTACTCATGATACCTGATCCCCTGCTGATAGATGACCTCCCCAGAGGCCTCATGTAGGAGTGGAGAGAGCACTGACTCTTCAAGGACCCCCACAAATCAGGGGGTTTCATTTGACCTCTCTCCTTCTGAAGCAGTGTTTCTCAACCTTGACCATTTTAAGGCATGTGGACTTCAACTCCCAGTATTCCACAGCCAGCATTGCTGGCTGTGGAATTCTGGGAGTTGAAGTCCACATGCCTTAAAATGGTCAAGGTTGAGAAACACTGTAATCTGAAGGGAAGCAGGCCTGGAGAAGAGTCCCTGCAACTCTGCATCCCACACCCAGCTCCCTTACTTGTTCCAGAATGATACTCCAGCGAGAGAACAAGGACACGGAGAACAAGGACACGCAGGACGGCTAAATATCATCAATAAATGTAATTAATGTCAATCATGCCCCCACCTCAAACCCCGATTGAAAAGAGCCCAGATAACCCTGATAATGACAAATATTTAAACGTTATTTATATTAGCATTAGCATTAATCATGACTGCCATTAATGATACTATTACTAATATTAAGCTCTAAAACAGTGTTTCTCAACCTTGACAATTTTAAGGCATGTGGACTTCAACTCCCAGAATTCCACAGCCAGCATTGCTCTAAAACCAACGGTATAAAAAACCAACCACTGCTCTAAAACCAACGGTATAAAAGCATCATCCCACACAAAGGTGTCTTTTCGAGCTATTTTCTTTCCCCCCTTCATAAACAGATGTTTCTTTTGGGAGTGAGTTGATTCAGCTGTAAATACACCTCATAAGTGTTGAGTTGGGAACCTGGGATGCAAACTCATATTTCTAAAGACTTTTCCTTCTATTGGTATATAATTTGAATCCAAAGAATTACGGTTTGGCAAAGGCCAACAGCTGTTCCTCTGACAGGTCATGCAGAGCACCATAAATAAAACTGTTAATTTCGTTATTTCTTCCTTGACCTAGATCTGGTGTCTTTCTTCATTCGACTGAATGTACCTTTTCTCTAAAATCTGACTTGATGCTCACTGTCTTTTTGAGGGAAGATGCATGCATGTATTTGGTTTTTTTTCCCTCCCAAGGAATTATGCTACAGAAAAGAAGCTTTGGTTCTGAGGATGAGCGAACCAGCCTAGTGGCCTGTCTGTCTGTCTCTCTGCCTGTGTCTGTGTGTGTTTGTGTCTGTGTGTGGCTATATAAATACATACCTTGTCCATATAAACAAAGAACAAAATCAGCACTATCAGCTCAGCCAGGAGAATGATCAGCAAAACGACAAAAAACTGAAAGAAAAGAAGAACAGGAACAGAGCGGAGTGTCAGAGTAATCGGAGAACGGAAAGGATTTGGAACATCTCACCGTATAGGACAGTGGTGGTGAACCTATGGCACGCGCGCCAGAGGTGGCACTCAGAGCACTCTCTGTGGGCACGTGTGCCGCCGCTGCTACCAGCAGCTTGCGCAGGTCCAAAGGCCACCCCCAAGCAAGGAAAGCCGGATCCCCATTGGCACTATGGCCCCCCAGTCCCAGCTAGGATTGCGTGCCTCCCGCCATCTATGCTGGGTTTCCTGCCCATCGCCCCACCCCTGGATCTCCCCCAAATCTGCCCGGCCCCCACCGGCGTCCCCTCCATGAGCAACATCCAGGTGGCCATGCCCACCGCAGCCACGCCCACCCAGTCTGCCGTGACCACCGCAGCCATGCCCATCCAGTGGGCTGTGCCCACCCAGTGGGCCACGCCCCAAGCACACCCCTGGGGGCAACACAATGTTGATGCGGCCTGGCACTTTGCGATAAATAAGAGGGTTTGGGGGTTGTGATTTGGGCACTCGGTCTCTAAAAGGTCCGCCATCACTGGTGTAGGAAAACGCGAGCGGGATAGTTGCATTAACCTACTTAGGCGTAATTAAAACAACAAGGGAAATAAGCTCTGATTGAATCCCCCCAAGAGAGACAGTGCCCCCACGGCAGCAGGACCGTGATTGGTTGTGTCTTCTTGAAGTAATGGCTCCTGCTTAAATCACAGCTGGGGGTTATGAGTTTGGGGGGGGGGGTAGAAGGAAAGCTTTGCCCAGCTTCAACTGATGGGTCAGTTCTGATCCCACCCAGAACTGATTCCGCCTCAGTGATGGCAAATCAACTCTTGATCGGTTGGATGGCTGTATTGCGCTCGACGGGCACGACCCTTGAAGGCAACTGGGGAGCCCCAGATGGTCGAGAAGATGGCCCTTGACTTACAACACTGCGTTGAGTCACCGTTCAAAGTTACAACGGCACTGGAAAAAGTGAGTCGTGATCGTTTTTCACGCTTATGCAGCAGCCCCAGGGCCACGTGTTCAAAATTCAGCCTCTGGGCAACCGACCCTTATTTACGACGGCTTTAGTGTCCCCGGGGAGTCACGTGATCTCCTTTTGCGACCTTCCATCAAGCAAAGTCCAGGGGGAAGCCAGATTCACTTAACAACTGAGTTACTAACTTAACAACTACAGCGAATCTGTCAACGCTGCTAACATCGGATGTTTTTGCATGGTCAGCAGATGTTGGAGGCTTTGAGGAGGAAAATAAAAAGGCATTTTTTTTCCCGGGGCGTGAAAGAGGAGACTCGTCCACAAACCGACTTACACTTAAAAGCAGGCACTTGTTCTCCTTGATGGCACCCAGGCAGCCCAGGAAGGCCGTTACCATGACAACGGTACCAATGGCGATGACCAGGTTGGCAGCCGACAGCAACGGGAAACTGGGAGAAAACGTGGCAAAGTTTCCTTGGGAGACGGAGAGCCATATTCCCACGCCCAGGAGCCCACAGCCGCACAACTGCACAAAGAGAGAGAGAGAGAAAAAAAAGAGGAAGAAGGGATGAGGGGCAGGAAAACCATGGGCCTTTGCCATTTGCCACGCAGACTGGCCCTGGAGCGGGTGAGAGGAGGGGAGTGCCACTGTGCCCTTGACTACTCGCCACGGTGGGAGGGGAGGGCTCCCGACTATTTCCTAACAACAAGGACAATTAATCAGTGGAACAGCTTTGCCTTCAGAATTTGTGGGTGCTCCATCACTGGAGGCTTTTAAGAAGAGACTGGACAGTCACTTGCCTGGAATGGTATAAGTGGAATTTTCCTCCAGTGGGATTTTCCCATGTATTTGATCAGGAAAGATAGATAGGGCAGCCTAGAAAGGTCAGTGCCCTCCTAACCATACCCAAGCACTCCGAGTTTGTTGGCGATGTCCATTTTGCTCTATGAGTTCATGGTGACCTAACCCTAACCCTAAGTGGAATTTTCCTCCAATGGGATTTTCCCATGTATTTGACCAGGAAACATAGAGAGGGCAGCCTAGAAAAGTCAGTGCCCTCCTAACCATACCCAAGTACTCCGAGTTTGTTGGCGAAGTCCATTTTGCCCTATGAGTCCGTGGCGACCTAACCCTAACCCTAAATGGAATTTTCCTCCAATGGGATTTTCCCATGTATTTTACCAGGAAACATAGATAGGGCAGCCTAGAACGCTCAGTGCCTTCCTAACCATACCCAAGCACTCCAAATTCGTTGGTGATGTCCATTTTGCTCTAGGAGTTCATGGTGACCTAACCCTAAGTGGAATTTTCCTCCAGTGGGATTTTCCCATGCATTTTACCAGGAAACATAGAGAGGGCAGCCTAGAAAAGTCAGTGCCCTCCTAACCATACCCAAGCACTCCGAGTTTGTTGGCGATGTCCATTTTGCCCTATGAGTTCATGGCAACCTAACCCTAACCCTAAGTGGAATTTTCCTCCAATGGGATTTTCCCATGTCTTTTACCAGGAAATATAGATAGGGCAGCCTAGAAAAGTCAGTGCCCCCCTAACCATACCCAAGCACTCCGAGTTCATTGGCGATGTCCATTTTGCTCTATGAGTTCGGGGTGACCTAACCCTAACCCTAAGTGGAATTTTCCTCCAATGGCATTTTCCCATGTCTTTTACCAGGAAATATAGATAGGGCAGCCTAGAAAAGTCAGTGCCCCCCTAACCATACCCAAGCACTCCGAGTTCATTGGCGATGTCCATTTTGCTCTATGAGTTCGGGGTGACCTAACCCTAACCCTAAGTGGAATTTTCCTCCAATGGCATTTTCCCATGTCTTTTACCAGGAAATATAGATAGGGCAGCCTAGAAAAGTCAGTGCCCCCCTAACCATACCCAAGCACTCCGAGTTCATTGGCGATGTCCATTTTGCTCTACGAGTTCATGGTGACCTAACCCTAACCCTAAGTGGAATTTTCCTCCAATGGGATTTTCCCATGTATTTTACCAGGAAACATAGATAGGACAGCATAGAAAAGTCAGTGCCCTCCTAACCATACCCAAGCACTCCGGGTTTGTTGGCGATGTCCATTTTGCTCTACGAGTTCATGGTGACCTAACCCTAACCCTAAGTGGAATTTTCCTCCAATGGGATTTTCCCATGTATTTTACCAGGAAACATAGAGAGGGCAGCCTAGAAAGGTCAGTGCCCTTCTAACCATACTCAAGCACTCCGAGTTCATTGGCGATGTCCATTTTGCTCTACGAGTTCATGGTGACCTAACCCTATAGGATCTCCTGCTTGAGCCCAGGGTTGGACTAGAAGACGTCCAAGGTCCCTTCCAACTATTATTCTGTTAAGGCTAAAGTATATGAATTACAATCGGTGGAGTTGGGAATGTCTAGTTTAACAAAGAGAAGGACGAGGACTCATTGCTCTTTGGGAGATTTTGGCAGCCCAGATCTGGCTGCGGTAAGCAACTGTGTCTCCCCTTGAATACACTGAAGCCCTAAAAGACCTTAGTTAATGTTTGGGGCTGGGGGTAAAGAAACAGTCCTGGGCCAGGGGGGCTTTGAAAGGGGGCAGGATCATTGACTTCCAGAGACAGGAATTTTTCCCAAATGCCTTCTTCTTTAAATAAACTCCATGTGCGTCTTATTAATTAATTCACTTTTATTCTAATGCATGGTCCTAAACAGATGGCTGGTTATCTAAAAATATGATATTCCTCATCGTATTTTTTTTTAAAAAAAAAAAACCCAAATGTCGCTGTTGGCCGTTTACTATTTTGTAAGACGCCCTGTTACTAATTTTTCATAGTACTCATTTACATCTGCCCACCGTTGGACGAGTTCGTGGAACAGTGGACGAGAAGTACGGTGACTACTATCCAAGTTAACCACGGCCCAAAACGGACGGGTTTTGGATACTTTCACCTGCAACTTCTAAAAGATTCTGGGACCTTCCGTCCTTCCGAAGTCAGTAAAGCGAGGAGCCAGATTGTTTGGAGACAATATGCTGACGTTGTAAACCACCCAGAGGGTGCTGTCAAGAAGCGTTTCTCAACATTAGCAAGGTTATGATGGGTGGATTTCTACTCCCAGAATTCCTCAGCCAGCAGAGCTGGCTGAGGAATTCTGGGAGTTAAAGTTCACCCATCTTAAACTTGCCAAGGTAGAGAAACACTGAGGTAAAGCATTAAAGAGGGGTATATAAATCTATTGCTGTTGTTAAGTACTAGGTCCTCCATCACCACCATCCCGCAAACCCCACTCCTTACGAGCACTGATAATGTTACCTACTTGGGTCATGAAATGTCTGCAAGAAAATAGCAGGCTCAGAGAGCACCAAGGACCCCCACAATGCCACCCTCCTTCTCCTCCTTCTCCTCTTCTTCCTCCTCCTCCTCCTCCTCTCCTCCCCCTCCCCCTCCTCCTCTTCCTTCTCCTTCCTCCTCCTCCTCCATCATTCCACAAACCCTACTCCCTTCTAGATCTGATGATGTTACCTAACTTGGGCAATGAAACATCTGCAAGAAAACAACCAAAGACCCCACAGAGAACACCAAAGACCCCACAGTCCCTTCTCCTCCTCCTCCTCTCCATAAAACCCACTCCCTTCTAGCACTGATGATGTTACCTAGTTGGGTCATGAAACGTCTGCAAGAAAACCACCCAGCTCAGAGAGCACCAAGGACCCCACAGTTCTCCCCCCTCTTCCTCCTCCTCCTCCTCCTCCTCTCTGCAAACCCCATTCTTTCTAGTACTGATGATGTTCCATAGTTGGGTCATGAAACGTCTGCAAGAAAACCACCCAGCTCAGAGAGCACCAAGGACCCCCACAGTCCTCCTGCTCCCTCCCTCTCCTCTATCTCCTCCCCTCCCCCCTCCTCCCCCTCCTCCTCTGCCAGTTTTCAAACTTTAAAACAGGCCTTTCCAAGCTGCTGCCTCCCAGTACAAACACACCAGATTGCCAATGCCCAGAATGTTTAACCAAAATGTCTTTAAACCCCTGGAAGCTGGCAAGTGTGAAAAGCAGCATTAAATATGTTTTAATGCAGAGACATCACCCTGCCAACAAAAGTGTGTATAGTGAAGGCCATGGTTTCCCCAGTTGCAATGTATGGCTGTGAAAGTTGGACCATAAGAAAGGCTGAGCGCAAAAGAATGGAGGCCTTTGAACTCTGGGGCTGGAGAAGACTCCTGTGAGTCTCCTGGACTGCAAGGCGTTCAAACCGGTCAGTCCTAGAAGAGATCAACCCCGACTGCTCTTTAGAAGGCCAGATCCTGAAGCTGAAACTCAAGTCCTTTGGCCACCTAATGAGAAGGAAGGACTCCCTGCAGAAGAGCCTGATGCTGGGAAAGATGGAGGGCAAGAGAAGAAGGGGATGACAGAGAAGGAGGTGGCTGGATGGAGTCACTGAAGCAGGAGGCGTGAGCTTCAATGGACTCCAGAAGATGGTAGAGGACAGGAAGGCCTGGAGGAACGTTGTCCATGGGATCGCGATGGGTCAGACATGACTTCGCAATTAACAACAACAACAATGTGATAGAGGCTTTTCCCAAACTGGGAAGTATTAAGACCGGCGCAGCAAATACGGGGGAAGAGAGAAAAAACAACACCATTTGGTCTCTTGCTCCACTGAATAAGCTCCTTCACCAAACCTTCACCGGATTGCGACTGCTGTTCTAAACCAAAAGCATTTTCTGTGCTTCTGCATGCCTAGAAAAACGAACGAACTGAATTCTCTTCCTGCTACCACATTTAAAATTAGAAACTTGCCAAGTGGGATTTGAAACTCTTGGCAGATGAGCCAAATATTTTTGGACCCGCATTGTATGCCAGAGACAGCTGACTTTTATCGCTAGGACATTATGAATGCTAACCCCGGGCTAAATAAATGCAGAGCAAAGATAAGCAGGATCCTGGGGCCGGGGAGGATGGTGGGAAAAAGGAGCTGAAGGTGGGTTAGAACATGAGCTATTGGTCCTTGGGGGCTGATGGGTCAGCCATCTCTGTCAGGGTTGGCCAATACCTCCCAAAGGCTGACATGCAGTTGGGTGCTGGTGGTGATCAATCCTTCTTACAGAGCAGGGGAGGGCTTCCACTTTATCAAGATCACATGTCGTGTGTTAATACCACTTTACAAGACCTTGGTAAGGCTACACTTGGAATACGGCATCCAGTTTTGGTCACCACGATGTAAAAAAAGATGTTGAGATTCTAGAAAGAGGGCAGAGAAGAGCAACAAAGAGGATCTGGGCACTGGAGGCTAAAACATTTAAGGAACGGCTGCTGGAATTTGGTATGTCTAGTTTAATGAAGAGAAGGATGAGGGGGGACATGATAGCAGTCTTCCAATATCTCAGGGGCTGCCCCAAAGAAGAGGAGTCAAGCTATTCTCCAAAGCACCTGAAAGCAGGACAAGAAGCAACAGATGGAAACCAATCAAGGAGAGAAGCAACGTAGAACTAAGGAGAAACTTCCTGACAGGGAGAACAATTAACCAGTGGAACTACCTGCCTCCAGAAGGGGT